ATTTTCTAATAAAATTTCCATCGTTGCTGCATCGTCAGTTGCTGATTCAACATTACCCGAATCATCATCAACTGTATTTTCGTTATTTTTGATAAATTCATTTTCGTTTAATCTTTTCGTCATACTTTCTTTTAGTGCGTTGACATTTTTTTGATTTCAACTTGAAGATAGTCCAAGCATATTAAACATTTAGATTGGCACCTTTTGTAGACAATGATTGTGATAACCATGTCCGCATGCAGTACACTACAATTATTCAAATCAGTATAGTTAGTATAATCACAATATACGTAATCGCAAAAAATGTCTATAGATGGTTTCCTAGAAGTAACAAAGCCTCTTGGAAGGTGACGATCGGTTATTTCATAAACTAAAAAAGTTAATTTGTATGAGTTGATACCATTAGATGAAGTTTTAATAATCAAAGGATACTGATTTCGTGCTTGATATATCTTCGTAAACACATCTAAAAGCAATACAGCACACTTTCGGGAAAGCATATGCAATTGTTTAGGTGTATATGGATACTTCACAGAATTTATGAAATGTTGTCGAAAAGCATTATTCTCTCGATGTTGAAAAATAAAACGTGCCTCCTTTTGCAGTTGTTGTGCAGTGAAAAACTTAGCCGTACGTCGTCGAATAATGCTGTGAATGATTTCTACAGGACTATCACTTAAAGAGGCGAGATAATTAGTAAACATATCAATCATCGGATGATTTGTCTCCATCCAATAAAAGATATCAGAAAAAAACATTAAAGGTGCACGCTTATAATTTCTTCTATCAAACCGAAGAAAAAGATCACTCCAGCAATGCATACAAGCTTCCTCATAAGCCAGCCGGTGCATTCTCTACATATTTCTTATGTTCATCTGCAACTTGCTTTTTTTTATGATCTACTGCTCTTGATGTTGTGGTTGCTCCAAGGTTTGCCATTGTATTTAGACCTTCATTACTTGTACCTACCGAATCTAAATAGAATGCAAGGTCAAACTTAAAAGAGTTAATTTTTGTATTATTTAATGAAGCAAGAAGATAACATATGAACACCATTAATCTCTTCATACGGTCCATTGTTTGTTCATTACGTTCAAATGGCCGAGCTGCTAAATAGAGTTGGTCAAAAAACCCCCTCAAGCTTGGTTCTATTTCTTGGAGCAATCTTCGCATTTCATCAAATTCGTATATAGGACCTTCTTTATTATTATATTCTCTATTCTCTTTCATAAAAGATTTTAGCAATCATCTTGATGGCTCTAGTGAAATCAATCTTTTCACTTACCTCTTCCTGTAGTTTTTACTTGCCTAGATCCCCTTTTTAAAGGATTTTCTACGAAATTCATGTAACAAATGTTACATAAAACAACACCTTCTGTCCATGTTACCTTCGCTAAGTTGTTGTTCTCAGCTTCTTTCCATTTATTGCCTTTCAGTTGACGAAATTTAGCTGATTTAATGGTTTTACATTTTGTGCAACGTTTAATTTCAGACATTTTTTCTTCGAGTAAATCGTATTATGAAAGTTGTGGGATTCAAAGGGATTCAAAAGATATGATAACAACAAAGTGTAAAGCTTCAAATTTGTGTAATTATTTGCACATGATTTATTGTAAGAATGGGCTACGTAATACCCTTGTAAAAGTATTTTAAACTGTATAAAAAAAATTGAAATCAATTGTGAAAATCCATTCCTTATATAGGACGTTCCCTCCTGTTGTGACATTGTGTAAAGTCACCCCCTGATTTGAAGTGGTGGTCACATGATCCAGAATAATCGTGAGGCCTCTTTCCAGAACGCATAAATAAAATTGTAAAATTTTGTTCTGTTACACGGCTTTATCTCAAGTTCTAATCCTAAGATCTCGGTGTTAAAAGGATTTACTATGCTTTTTAACACGTGGTTAGGTGTTCACAACATATATAATAGAATACCAGTTCAATATGTCACTGATATAGATTTATATTATGCCAAAAAATCAGCAAGACTTATACCCAGAACCTCTCCTCCAATATTAAAAGAAAAAAAAGCAGAATTTACTAACATCAATAAAACCTTAAATTTTCAACCTTTCAATTAAAATGGATACCATCTACCATCTGTTTACATAAATTTACTTGCTGTTGCTGACAAAGGCATTAAATTAGATTTGATTTTCTTAGAATGTCTCACATGTCTTACAACATTAAAAAGTGATAGCATTATTTATTATGCGTGGGAATTTACCGAAAAATTTTGCCAAAGCGAAACAATCAGTAATTGATATATTGAATGTAACAGACGATAAGAAATCTTTACATTCTACGAAATTTCTGGGAATAATAGTTACCCGAAATGTTTTCCTTACAATAACAAAAATAGTTAGAAGCAGTAATTCGAAAATTCTCATGCACAGTAAATAACAAACTGGTTTATTAAATTTAGATTATCTTCGAGATTGGAATTTAGTTTTACTTTTTAATTCACCAATTTTCACTCGCATCGCCTACCAAATAATTGCAATGTTTTGATTGTTTGTTTTGACAAGAAAGGCAAAAAAATGTCGCACTGCATTATGAGAAATTTCTTTCTTACGTTAACGACAATGATATCTCAGTAAAATGATAAATACATATATTAATTATGTGGTGCCTGTGTACAAAAAGTATTGGGTGAATAAGATGCTTATATAATATTTGGCTTTACCGTCAATCAAAACATCTACTAGTCCTCATTTGTTATTATTGTAAGAAAATAATTTCTTTTTAAAATTTATTAATTAATGCATAATGTTGTCATAATGAACTCTAAAAAGGTATATGTGCGACGGTGTTTTACAATGCAATCGCGTTACATTGACTCGGAGAATATTATTATATTAGGAAGTTGTTATTGGTAAGTTATTATTTTTTTTATAATTAACTGGGAAAAAGAGTAAAAAAAAAAAATTAAACAGTTATTAATAATTAAAATATATTTAAAATAAAGAATCCAAATTGATAAAATCTATATAATGTTTGATTTGGGTGGTGATGGATGACATTCACTGCTTATAAATGCAAGATTGTGTATTTGCAATTTGATACAATTATTACATATAAAAACTCATGATTTATGGTTTAATTATCAAACATTCTTTAAACTAGTTGATCAACCTGTTTTACGTCATTATCATGGTAGTTTTTCCATATATCAATTGCACTTTCCAATTTGGGATTTCTTTTTGAGTGATTGAATGATGAATAAGAAAAAACGTAATTCCCGGACTTTATATAAAAATAATAAGTGTCATATGTACTCTGCATGTTATATGCATACATTAAATTGTGTGTAAGATTTTGCTTGTTATCATTCTTGCTACAAATAATTAAAATAATTAAAGAATTAAAGAGAGGTGAGAGGTTGTAATCAATCAATCAATTAATCAATCATTGATTGATTGAATTACAAACTTGTTTGTGTGTGTGACAAATTTCATTCCCATTGTTGAATAAATATTTGTTAAACAAGATAATAGCAAGATTTTCTTTTACAAACTTTATTTTTTTTATTTTACTCGGTAGTTTTGAAAATGAATTATTGCTAGTTTTAAAAAAGGTTATACATCGTTGTGCAATAATAATAACGAAGTTTGAATGATGAAATAAACATTTTATTTTAATTTTTTATAACAATCACGTGGCAATAATAATTACGCGTAAAACGCGTAATTATTATAAAAACTGATAAAGAGATCATAGACTGCAAGAAAATTATATTTCCATACAATATTTTTCTGAGTGAATGTGTGTGAATTTATTTAATTACAAAAAAGATATATAACATATATATATTAAAAAATTGAAATGGTGAAACTTATTTACAAGGAAAAAAATATTTACGCAAAATTAATTATTATTAACTATCGATAAAATACATATTTTTTTTTTTTTAAAAAAAAAAACTAATAAAAATTATATTTACAAAAAAATCTTTTTGAATTTTAAACTCGAATTTTCTTATAATATTAAAATATGTGGGAAGATATTACGTGTATTTAAACCATAAGTTTTTTTTGTGTATAAACCCTTCCAACATAAAAATGGTTTTTCTTTGGGTATGTTTATCTATATATATAGTGTATATATGATATGATATGGTATGTATATATGTATGTATTGTATGTATGTATGTAATATTACTGTCAAATTATTACTATGTATCTTTTCTTAAAATCATATTAAAAAATATAATGTCATAATTGGTTTTTTTAATATTATATAAAGAAATAATAATATTCCGGAAAAAAAAATATCGAACAATAATTAGTCAGCATAATATAGCTGTATTATTGTTATTGTTGTTTGCGACGTTATTACTGTTATTAGGGAAGTGTCGATGATTATTTATAATCCCTAATTCAGCCAAAATCGACGTACGGTCGTAATCTATAGATGAATGAGTATAATACACCTTTTCAAACCGGCTGAACCTTACCGATTTTCTCCTTTGACAAGAAGAAACCGAAGGTTCAATTGCCAAGTTTGTTGTATGAGATGATGTATTAGGAGACATTTTTGCTTGTTTCAACACCAACGAATGCGATAAATAAAATTTTTAATTATGTATTATTAAATTGCGAATCAACCGATCGCTAAAGAAAAAAAAATGAAGGAGTTTTGGTGTGTATATTACTAGTTGATTAATTGTTCGCGAGAGCTAAATTAAAGAATATATTATTATATTTCGTTAGATATCGTTAATTAGGTTCATCAATAAAAATAAATTATTATTTGAACTAATTGTTATTATTATTATTATTATTATTATTGATGAGAGAAGAGACATAAAAAATAAAAAATCGTAAAATAATGACAAAATAAGAGAAGTGGAGAACGTAAAATTAACTGGGTTTTAATAGATAAATTTTTTTTTTTTGTTTAAATAAGGGGAAAATAAAAATTAAGAAAGAATTTTTTTTTTAATAAATTTTGAAGACGTAATAATTGAAAATGATGAAATGCAAAAAGGATGTATTGCATATCGTGTAACAAATGAAATGCAAAAAAATTTTTTTTTATTAATAATAATAATAATAATAATAATAATAATAATAATAACAATAAACAATAATATTTAATTATTTTAATAAACAAAAAAAAAATTTTTTTATTAAAAAAACTCACTTTTTTTAAAAAAATCTCAGTTTGAAATCAATTAATTAATAATAGGTAATTAATTATTTTTATATTTTTTTTTTGTTATCTAGTTAATTTCTTCTTCAAAGGTTTCTTAAATTGGAGAAACAAGTTTGATATTTATAAGTAATAATTGCCACCACAATTATTATATTTGGTATTTAATATTGTTCGGCTATTCAATTGTTAATAAAATTAAGTGGTCGAGAAGGAGTTTAAAATTATAGTTTACTAGTAATTAGGTTTATGAAAAATTTATTCTTTGTCTTTAATAAATTAATTTATAATACATAAGCCAACAATATAACATTTTACTAGCATTTATTAATGCATAAAATAAAGCACGTTTTCACAAATTATGTCATAATTACCAAATCAGGATTACAAAATTTGAAAATTTTTTTCATTATTTTGACGCGCAAATAATATTTTTGACATTGATTCTTAAATTACTTGATTTTTTTACTTTTTACCCCGCATTATTTTCAACATTTTGGTAGCGAATAATGATTAAAGAAATATTGTGTGCGGTTAGTTTATTTCAAATCAATACATGTGTTATTTATTATTATACATATATATAATAATAATAATAATAATAATAATAATAATAATAATAGTATTGTGATATCATTATGAAGATAATTTATCTAATGTAACAACAATTATCGGATTGTCGAATTTTATATGTAGAAATTGATAATAGATTAAATTTCCGACGTATTGGAAGAAATTTTTTTCAAAATAATAAAAATAATAATACTAACTTATTTTGAAATGATCTAACGAATCAAAAATTACAATTGCTTTACATTGTTTGTTTTGAATTTGGGGGTATATGGTATATAGATTATTTGCATATAGGGTATGTATCTATAAATTATAGGGTATATAGTATGAGTTAGGCAACAATTTAAAATAATTTAACCAATTATTATAATAAATTAAGATTGAAAAAATACGTAATCATACATAAATTTTACAATTCCAATAATTAAAAGAACAATGAATTAATGGCCTGATATTTTTATTATATTAGGAAATTCAAAAAAAAAAAAAGATAAACAAAATAAACAATCAATAGAAGAGATTATAAAAATTGTAATTGGCAAGTTGTTAAGAAAACTGGTATTATTTATTATTATTATTAACAAACAATTAATCTAAATTTTTTTACATTTACAATTATTTGTAATTATTTACATTCTGGGAAATCAAATAAAAATTACAAGGATATTATTGTTATTGTCAGATAAAGGAATAAAGAAATGATGATTGATTGGATAATTTTCTTTTTTTTTTTTTTTTTTTGGGCTGAAATGAAACAAAAAAAAATAAAATAGCTAGCTGATTTTGGTAATAATGGCTGTTTGTCTACATATTTTAAATGTGTGCGCGCGTTTATTATAAATCACATGTATTTATTAATAACATTGTAAAAAAGAAGATTAAAGATTTAGATCAATTAATATAGCAACACACACCAACAACAATTGTGCTATATACATAAAATTGATAAAGGCACAACATTAAACAATCTTTTAAATCTATGATCTCACAAAAGAACCTTGATTCTTATGATGTGGATAATTAAGGTTGGAATGCAGGTCATATTTTAATGATGCTTTATCCAACACTTGGCCTCCGATAACAGATAATTTATATAACCTATGATCACTGAAGACGTAGAATGACGCTATATGTGAATAATTTGACCAAAGGATAACTATTGTTTGATTATTATTGTACCAACTATATCATGAATGTTAATGAGGAAATCATTCAATACGAATGAATTCCGTTATTATTAAAAAAAAATTTGTAATTTTATTAATAAAAACAAATAAGCCAAAGACCCAAATGATCTTGAATAATGATAATTCGTACTACCGAATCTTTACTCTAATTCTCTAATTTTTAATAATAACAATAAGCCAAAGTCTTAAATAATGGTAGTTTGTACTACCATAAATAAATAAATTAATAAAAAAAAAATTATTATTTTTTTAATGTTCTAATTTCATCCAACAAGAGTTGGACTTGATTCATTAATTTAATTTCATTTTGTTCAATTTTACTTTCAATATGTTTAAGTTTCAAATTAATATTTGCCTTTTTTTCTGGTTTAGGCATCCCAACTACTTTTCTAAGTTCTTCAGAGACAAATGGTAAATTTTGCAAATCATCATTTTTATTCTCATCAATTTTTTTAATTTTTTTCCTAATATCCTCAGCCGGAATTGGATAATGCCTAATTAAAAATAAAAAATAAAGGTGAGAAAATAAATAAATAAATAATTAATTAATTATTCACTTATTTTGATTTTTTCAAATTTGAAATTCGAAAATTTGTACTTACAATATTTCAGGAAACCAATCTTTCCATCGACGTTGATTTGGCAATAAATAAAACAATTCGATTTCTGTTATAATTCTTGCTTTTTCAGCAAAAAATGCTTCATCTGTGTTATTTTCTTCAATTGCATTGCTTAACAAGCCAATAAATAGATTCATGAGGTACACAACAACTATGAATGAAAAAACTACCACCAATATTGTCAGATATGGATCATCTTGTAATGACCAAGGTGAAATTGCACTATTATCACCTGTTGGGGAAAATTTTTTTTTTTAATTATTAAAGGACTTGTAAAAAAAATTAAAAAATCATTAATTTCTATCATCACCTGCAAGAAAATTATACATCGCCAACATTGATGAGCTATAATCTATAAACATGTTTGTGTCTTTATCAGGTTCTTTCATAATGGTGTAGGGATTATCAGTATTATTATCAGATACTGTGATGTATTGATCAACAAGATTCCAAGGATTATTGGGATCATCGTTGTTTGTATATTGATCAAATGTATATGTTTGAGTTGGTCTTAACAATACGTATAATGAGTGTGAAAAACTTAATATTACTATAAATATTATTAATAGAAACGAGAAAACTTTTTTGGCAACTCCTAAAATTATAGCAAAATATTTTCCAAAATATTTAAATACTCTTAGGAAAAACATGAATTTCAAATCTAATGATAAATTGGTCAACGAAATCAACCAACTTGGAGGTCTTTCATAACTTAGCCAATAAATTGAAGTGATGATTGGTAACAAATGTGCACAAAGATCTATTTATTAAACAGCAAAAATTTAATATAATTAATACGATATAATTTTAATGCTATCGTTAATAACTTATCAATAAAATATGAATAATATTTATTTTTTTTAATTACCAAAATAGTTCCAAAAGTCACTAATATATCTTTTTGGTCGCCAGATAAATTGTCTGATTTCAATTGAGAAATGAAAGAATCCAAGAATGATAGTACAAATTAATCCTGCCCTTCTGATATCTACAGTGAGATCACCGAATCTAGCAGTTGTTACAATGGCAAAACTCATTTGAAAAATTATGTAAACTAACCACATTCCAAGATAATATCTGAATCCAAACGTATTCCACTTGAAATCTAGGATAGCTTGATAACTCCAATGCTTAAAAATTGACTTGTGTTCTAATTCAATAAATGTATTTGTCTTTGGCTTATAAAATAATTCAACAAAGAATGAATAATCATTTGTATAACTCATGAATCCAGAAAATGGAATTACCAGATGTATGCATGGTTGTTTTTCAATTCTATTACTTGAAAATTTATGCAAATTATTGTCATCAAGAAATTTTTTAAATTTTCTAATATAATTATTGTCAACAAATTGATAATAGAGTCTCCAGAAACTTTTTTTTTCATAAATGAATAATTCTCGAGTATATGCATTATATAATGTATCATAATTTGAGGTGGTTGGGTTAGATGTAAGCAATATCATTGAGGTTTGAGTGAAAAATCTATCAACTAATTTATAGTTATGCTTTTCTATTCTTGGTAATTCTGAAATAAGTGATGTTAATATGCTAATATTTAAATCAACATCTTTCTTAAACCAATCAAGATACGAGCAAACTACTTGCTCCACAATGATACTATTATCCCTATCCAGTGCTATACTTAGAACTTTCTTTCCAAACTTTTCAAAATAATAAAAATCATTCAACACACTCGAAAGAAATTCTTTGTATGGTTGTCTAAGAATTTTTTTTTGGCTAATGAATGTTTTGTTAACATCACGAAAGATAGTATAAATATCTATTATTTTTTCTTCTGCAGTTATATTCTGCCCATGATGTTGTTGCTTTGGGATTCCTATTTTATGATGCTGATGCTGCTTATGCTTATGCTGATGCTGATGCTGATGCTGATGCTGATGCTGATGCTGATGCTGATGTTGATGTTGATGTTGATGTGTTCCTATTTTATGATTGTTGTAATACTTCAATCGTATTTTAGATTTCTGATTACCACCATTACCATTATGATGGTTATGATTTAAGTCAAAAAAATAAATAGATGAAGTTGTTACTAAAATTAAATGAGTATTATCCAATAATTTGCCATAAAGTAATTTGTCTGTTATTTCTAAATCATATTCATCCAATGCATGCCAATCCTCTTTATCTTTTTCTTTTTCTTTTATAAATGTTTGAGTTAGAACTGATACAATGATATTTTTAAAATCTTTGTCATATTCAATTATCCACTTGTATGATAATGGTGTTGATGTTAATAACAACGATTGTGATGATGGTTTTTCTGGTTGTAATGTAATAAGTTTTGGCGGTGGATTAAAGTTCGAGATATCATCATTAATTTCTGAAATAATTTTATCAAAGAATTCACACTCCTGACTTTTTAAAATAAATTGTCTTGTATCCAATTTGTCTTCATCAATAACTTCTCTAAGGTAAATATGGTTGGTGGTAGCAGTGGTATTGGCGGTAAGAGCATCATTGACAATGGAAGCATAGGTGGTGGCGATGGTGTTATTAGCAGTATTAAAACTACTACCGCAATTGTTGCTGCTAACACCACAACCACAACCACTAATACCACAACCACTAGCATCGCTGCTACAAATATCACTGCTACTAAAACCACTACAACCACTACTACCGCCACCACCGCCACCAACAATAACACTAAGATTATTATTACCTGTAATAATAATATCATTGATATTTCTTATAATAATAATTTTATTATCATCTACAACTGGACCAATAATAACCTCATTATCTTTCAAACCAAATAACAGATTTTCTTTGAAATAGTCTGTGATGTCCATATAATTGGCAAGATTATAAGGATCTATTAACTTATATACATGACTTTTCGTATCATTACAATAAAATCTAGCTAATAAATATTCTAATTTATTTTTTGTGATGATAAATAATAAGCTTTTTATTGACATATTCTTTTTATAATCAACTACAAAACCAAAGAAATTTTTATATTAATAAATTTTTTTTAAAAAATAATAATAAAATTAAAAATGATACTTACATGATGAAAAAATTCTATTATTTTTTATTGAAAAAGTTATTAATTTTTTATCATCGTGATAAATCATTGCAGCCAAACTTTTATCGCTATTAAAAATTGTTTCACCAGGTCTATAAAATATACAATAACTATCTTCACATGACAAATTTGCCTTGTTCCAGTTGGTCATTAGAGTATTTGGATTGGCAATTAAAAGTCCATTCTCTTTATGAAAAATATTTATAGGCTCATTACAATAAAGGTAATAAGTAGTTTTATGAATTAGCTTATTTGTTTTATGATCAATTCTAAATGTTTGAAAATGTATTCGATCATCATTTTGATAAAATTCATATTCTTTAATCATTGTTAATTCTTTATTCTCGTTAAAAACTCCCTTTGCAAATTGATTGGTCACATTTGTTGGGAATTCAAGAAAACTTCCCTTTGATAAATCAAGAATTTCTAAATAAAAAAACTTGTGTAAATGTCCTTACAAAATTTTATGATAATAATAATAATAATAACAACAACAACAACAATAGTTACTTACTACAATGGTAGTTATACTGATTACGTAAAATTATATATCTATTTTCAGAAACATCATCCAAATATGTTCCATAAATTTGATTTTCATCTGATTCTGTTAAAAAATCATTTCTAGAGTATTTGTAATATTTATCTTGATGAATTATATCATTTATAATATCAACAACCCATCCAATTACGGATTCATCAGCAACACTGTTTGTCACAAGATATTTAGTAGCGGGATTATAATTTATATTATTGATAATTTTACCATTATGTGCTTTAGTGGTTTGGTGATTGATTGAAATTTGTGATCCTGATGATGGTAAATTTACATCTTCTAAGGAAAGCTCTTTAAATATTTCTTCTTCCAAAGAACTTAAAGTCAAATTGATAGATATGTCTTTATTTTTCTCTATTATTATTATTTCATCAAGATCCTTAACACCTTTCCCTTTGGATTTTTTATCAATTCCTTCCATTTATTTTAAGGAATCCGGGTTTAAATTTTTTTCGCAAATTTTAAAAAAATCCAAAAACTCCATAATCCTATCCTCGTTCATTATATATCAAGTAAATCATATAAAAAATATTATGTTAATGAATGATCTGCAGGGTGCGTCGGTTACACGTGACTGAAAAAAATTTATGATTAGGGTTTACAGGATTATCCTACCCGTTTAAATTTTAGCAATTCGGGTCAGGCTAGTCGCGTAACCTAAATGAGCATTTGGCTAAAACGCTAAATTAGGATTTTAACCCCTTTACGCGTGGTCAGCCATATCCTATTCATTTTCAAAATCTTATCCTAATCAGGGCTAGCCGCATAACCCAAATGAGCATATTTAATAAAGACAATTATTACTAAATTAGGATTTTAACCCCTTTATGCTGCCAGAATGTTGCACCCAATGCGGACATTTTCCGGTAGGCTTGCCTTATTATTATTATTATTTATTATTATGGGTAATATGTTATTATTATTATCCTATTTCCTCGGGCCGTGGTGGAATATATGGATAACACTACCTCTGCATGCAATTCATCACAAGGATTAATTTCAGCTTAGAGACTGTATCAACTTTACTTAATATTAATATTAATAAATTTCGAGATATTTCCGTTAAAGTTTTTTAAAAAAATAGTAAACAAAACATGGTAATAGAAACTGCGATAATTATAAACATTATGATTTTGAGTTAACAATTCATCGCAAGGATTGATGATATTTTCCGTAAAAAACAAGAACAATAATAGAAATGCAGATCTTTTTTCAAATCGTGATTTTGCGTCCACAAATTCTGACGGGAAATTCGCGTGATTATCATCCCCCTGGATGAGGCAAGATTGGTCATATAGGACCCTGGATTATTAAGATTGATGTGATGGTTTTTTGCCGAAGTTACATGTAAATACTTTTAATAATAATAATAAGTGTACGACTATTTTGGGTATACACAGTGAAGTTCGTCCCAAGAAATTTATCCATAAAAACAAGAAATTTGGAATTGCGGATTTTATAATAAAATCACGTAATATCTGTTATATAAAAATTTTAATAAAAAATAATATATATAATATGTAAATAATAAAATAACAACATTACTTAGGGTTTGTTTCTGATCTGTTTTGTGAGTGCATGTTTTCAATTTTTTTTTTTTTTGATTATAGGCAAAGGTGAATATTTCCTTTTCTTTATATAAGAAAATTTCCTATCGTCTAAGTCAGAAGTCTTATTTTCACGAATCATTTTACAAGCCATAAATTTTAATTTACGTTTTAATTGTTTTTTAATTATAATAATAAGTTGTTGTTTCTATTTTTTCCAAAATATAGACACTTTTAAAATCATAATTTTATTCATTTTGACCGTGTATGGTTATATTATCGTACGTTCTATCATCATACGTGTTAAATCAAGATAAAGTTATTATTACTATAGGAAAATTTTGTTTCGAAATTTTATCGTTAAACCCTTAAATCCGCTAATAATCCGCTAAATTGAGTTTCACCGTGTAGTATTATAAGCAGGTAAAGCAATTTTTATATCATGTGTCCTTTTCCATTTTCTAAAGATCCTGCTTATTACTGACTATTTTTTTTTTAATAATGTTTAATTTTTACCTTGGAAATAATAAATGTATAGAATTAGTGAAGAACATCAACAACTATATTAATATGATTGCTTAGTTCTTTAGATAAAAATATATTTGAATAATTTTTTCAATAGTTACATATGAAGTTACATGTCTTTATATGCTAAAATGGGTAAAAGAAGAAAAGTTTGGGCCCAATTAAAATTATCTTACATGTCTCATATACTGCCGGCGATGGTCTCTCTCTATGACGTATTTTTCTTGCTGAAACAGAAGGGCCGTTATAGAGAGTGAACTGTACTCAATCTTTGTATTGGAAAATAAAGAAAAATCTTTACAACTTGCTTTGGAATTATTTTACTGATAAACTCCTAATCATTCGCTGATTTTTTGTTGAGCGATTCAAAAAAAAAAATTTATTTTTCTAAGTGATCTTTATCACACTAACCAAATATTAAAACCAAACCTCTATTTGCTTAGAAAAAAAAAGATTTTATTTGCATGATAAACGTTTATCACGTGGAAAAGGTATCGTCAAATATCGATTTCACTACTGACTGATATGTTTTTTTTATTAGCACGCTTACAACTGAGAACGCAAAGTAAGTTTTTTGGTTTTTATTTTTATTTACTATCATCACATCTTGGATCAATACAATAGTCTATTTTATTAAATTCGAAACATATAAATAGGACGGCTACCCTACATTTTTCCGTAACACCAATGTAGATATATTTCAAGTTTAACCTGAAATCACACAATCATTATTCTAATGAACCATTTTTTTGCTCTTATGTTAATAATCGATTAATAATCTAAATTACATAATTTCATGTGGTGTTGAAATAAATATTTTCGTGCACATGGAATTTAGTGTAACGTGACACGCCTGATTGAATTTTCAACTGTATGAATAATATCATACATATTATGGCAAAGAAAGTGAAGACAAAGTATGTGTTCCATCGCTTCCTGGTTATCCAACCTTAACAAAAAAAGAACAAAGTTCATTTGATTATCTTTTAATGTAAAAAATGGAACATGAATTACTATTGAATAATACAACTTATTTTAATTGTACTTGATTGATTTTTATTGATGATAATATATGCAAACATACATATGTATGGCATATGTATATATAAAAAAAAATACGATATTAATGAACCCGCTAACAATATTTTTAGTAGAAATGAATATTATCTATTTGATTTCTTACACATCTTTTCGATTAGATATAGTCTTTATATATACTAGATTTAATGATACCCCTCTTTTTTAGTACATAGATCATACATAAAAAAAATTAAAAATTTTATTCATTATTATTATTATTATTATTATTATTATTATTAACATTTCATCATCATCATTGACGGGATTATCACCCACCTATTGTGTAAAATTAGTCATATATACAGTTGATGATATGGAATTTCGGCATTATTTTTCATATGTTCGTCCTAACATATTACCTTTATCACCTAAAAGTTCTCAAATGCTTTTGCTAGCAAATCGGAATGTAAAGGTACATTGTGAATAAGTTAGATGATGATAATAAAATACATCATCAAATAAATAATCTGGAAAATTGGAAAATCTTGTCAATGAATCATTGAAGACAATATTTATTCCCGCAGAAAATTAATTGGGCAATTCGGATCTAATCTCAAAAGAATGGAGAGTTAAAGTCTGGAGCCTTTATTTAATAAATAAGAAAATAGTAGTTGCATTGAAAAAACTGGTGCCAGTTTTTGATATAGATTCAAAAATCACAGGTATTACTCAAGATGCCAGGGAAATGTTTTACTCTTTACTATTTGTAATAGTAATATTAATATTGAATTATTATTTTATGTTTAAAAATTGTTACTATTAATCTACCACGTGATTTCCCCTACCCTTATTGTAAAAATAATAATAAAATAATCAAATAATCAAAATTAGATTGGACCTTGCGCATTTGTAAAGAATAATTTACTTGCTATCTTATTGAGAAGTGTGACCCCAGAATCGACACTTCTACTTTCTAAGAAATAAATTAAATTTGATCAATGTAAATTAATTTAGACACTTTTTGTCACTGTTTTCCATATAATAATTAAAAATCTTTTTCGCAATTTCCATGAAATTTTTTTTATTTTCTCTTTTATTTACAATATATTGTTCCCTTTGCATTATTTTAGAAAACGATGGTTATTTATCAAAATAAAGTTTACTTACTCCCATAATAGTTGCACAAATAAATCCAAAAAAGAAAGTAATTCCCTGATTTCGGATATTAATATTTATTGATAATATCGAATTACGAATACATTGTCTAAATAAGTTCTATGGGAGAAACTTTATCCTATGAACAAAGGATCTCTATTCAACCAAAGCAAGCAAGTGAAATCGAATTTTTTAAATTCTATCATGTAGAAAATCATCTTGTTTTCACTCTTTCCACTTGTTACTGCATTCATCGTCGACAAAGATTATAAATCCGAAGAGAATATGTATGATGCAATTATTAACATATTCTCTCCAATTTTATCATTTTGTCCAACGCTTCAGGTGTATCTGGACGCATCAAAAATGAGCTGTTGCCATTATTGGATGACATATTATACAATACAGTCACTCGTGTGATTCCTCTGGTAGTTCCCTTTACCTATGGTGATTTTCTGAATATAAAGATATTTTCAATTCTAAGCATGTAACTTGCGCAATAGTCGCTATAATTAAAGAATAAAAGAGTTGTGATCTCTGTATTTTTTTCCCAGCTATACTGCTATTATTACAACTAGACATCTTTTTGTTTTCTTTGACTAATTGTAAAAAAAAACTACTTTTTCGATTTTTTCTGTCAGAAGTAACTTAGATTTATTGAGTTTTTTCAATATAAATTTTATTATTTTTACAAAACAATTTATCAGTGAATAATTGTTGTTTAATTTTCGCAAAAGAAAATGTAATGTGTACTAATATAACTTAATATTAATGTTTATTAAAGTTTGAATTATTAAAAGAATGCAAAATATTAGTCATCATTCAAACATTTAACATTTAAATTCATTTCTTTTTTTCATGTCTCTTCAATAATCATATCGCATCACAATCATCAATTTTCCAAGACTTATCATCATTATCATTATCCTTACCATTATTATTACCTTCATAATTATATTTATAATTATTAAACAATTTCACAATATCAACTTGATCCTGTTCATCCAATTGTTTAAATAATCATCTATTTCTTTATAATTATCAACCTTGTCAATCATTTTCACCAAAAATTTTAATATATAAACTCTTAATCTCTCGAATCCCAACCAATTACTAATTTGTAATGACGCCTTCCACTTATTCTCTTTCTTGGTCCATGATAAAGGCATGAGTTCCAATAAACCATCAATGGATTCGCTCAAATCTGGTACATCGAATTTCTTAGCCAAGTATCCTAAAACTATCATTTCATCTACCGTTTTACTCTCAATATCCAATCTATTGTAACTAGTAATAGAAGATTTAGGTTACATTATTATTACAAATAAAAATCAATTCAATTGAAAAACTTACAAATATTCCAAAAACCTCCCAAAAATCTCATGATCATAGTACAATTCATTTTGTTTACCATTATGAACATTTTTATCAAAATCGTACCAAACCTTTATACAATTATTGGAGGAACATGTATAATCAACTATCAATTCTAATGGTGATGTTCTCGATTTTCTTGTTATTAAAGATGTTGTTGATGTTGTTGATGGAAATTCGTCATGAAAATATTTTGAATAAAGTTGTAAAATACATCGATGTACATAAAAACATTTTTTATCAACACAAATTATTAAATCTGATGTTAACTTGTCATTAAAAAGTAATTTGATTTTCGATTCTAAATTCATTTTTTTTTAAAATTTTCCAATTGAGAAAAAATAATCTGTCTATTATGCACATATATATACATGTCGTCGTCCGTTGTCGTCAATTTATCTCATGACGTTTTAGTATTATCGCCATTACATAATTCCGAGAACATTTATATTTTTAATATATCAAATAATACAGTAATAGCAAATAATAAATTTACTTTATTTTTTATTTAGATTTCTGCATTATTTTTACGTTAGTTAATAGTTAATAATAATAAGCAAATAAGTAAACAGTGATTTAATTATATATATATTGTTTAAGTAAGATCAATCATTGTTTTTCTTAGAATTGTCAACAAAGAAAGGGTTATTATTGCCTTGATCAAAGTAGCGTAGATTAGGCATGTTTATTTCCCGATTTTCTTCAAATATCTTTTTGATTCTTCTAGTTATGAAGCTTACAAATAAAAAATTTCATAAATAAAAAATTTTTTAATCAGTACAGAAAAACAAAAACAAACCTTTCTGACTCAATATTTCTTTGCTCGTTGGTTGGTGGATCGCACTCATTAAATGCATCAAAAGATCTGTGATGCACTGCTGTTACTGAAGGTGGCAAATGATGCGGAGAAGGTTGTAGAGGATATTGTGTTGGTTTAAGAGAGGGTTTTTGTGGTTGAATCGGGGATACAAATGATGTTGGATATTGTGCTTGTTTAAGCGGATACGGTGACAGTTTAAAATAATGTTGTGATGATGGATTTAAAGGACGGTGTGTTGAAAAGGCTAAAGGATTTTGCATTGACGATGGCATTGGAGAACTATATGGCAATGCCTGTTGTTTTGGTTGTTGTTGTTGTGATGGTGATGGTGGTGCTAAAAGATATGATGATGATGATTTTAAAGGATATTGTAATGATGTTTGGGGAAATAAAGATTTTGGTTGCGTTGGTTGTTGTGGAGATTTAGTTTGAAATTGTTGGTAACAAAATCTATACGCGGCAGGCTTTAATTGGTTTTGTCCTACTATCAAAATTACCATCAAAATTAATCCTGTATTCTGTGTGTATATAATAAATTCATAAATAATCTGACAAATACACACATTCACTAGGAGTAACGTCTACGAAAGGATTAAATACGCCTTTATATTCAGGCATTTTTTCCGACTTTGATAAATCAATCAATTCACCGGGAGGAAGAAGGGGAAGATTATCATCAAAGGATGGTTTGAATTCCTAAATTTTTTTAATAAATACTTATAATAAATTCATTCATGAAGCAATAATATATATATATATAATATATAATAAATACAAGTTTGTTAATTTCTTCTAATAACTGATCAAGTTCGTCTTCTTTTTTAAAGGGGGGCATACAACCTTGTAAATCTTCAGGAAGTGAAAGACCTGAAACATGAAGCACCATCAGCTTCTGACGTTCTGTGAAAACAGGTGTCAATATACCTGCTCGCATCTATTAATTGATTAAAAAACTTGATAAAAATGTATTATTTATTTATATTAATGTTATTTTTTGTTTCTCTTACCATACGTTCCATTAATGTATCATCAATACGATGGTATTCTTTGCTTAGATGAATTTTAAGTGATTCGATTGCAACTGTAAAATTATTGGTCAGATCATTAGATCATTGAATTCAATTGTAAAGAAAGCAAAAATAATTTTCTAATTAATTACGTTTCAACATTTCAAATAACAAATCCCGCTGTAATGTAGTGTAAAGTTCTCCTTGATGAAATGGAAACTTAAAAGAACTTTTCGTTAGTAACAATGATTACCATGTAATTATTATTATTATTGTATCGATGATGAATGAAAGTGATCGTTACTTTGACAAGTACACTAATTATATTTTCAAAAGGACGTTCGGCACATTTGCGTGAAAAATGAAGCTTGAAAAAACTTTTCTTTGTAAATAAATATATTATAAAATGACTGGAAATGATAAAAATAATGGTAGTATTACTTTATAATTACGACAAACAACCAACAACGAGTTCATTTCTTCTCTGGTGATGAACGGTACATGTGGGATGGTCGGATTTGATTGTAGAACAGTTTGAGTGACTATAGCATTACTTCCAGAAAATTCACCTTTCCATTTAGGAAATATGGCTTTCATTAAGTCTCCTTGAGTCGATTCCATACAAGTGATAATTCTACCTTTTAACGGTTTCAAGTTACGAGTTTCGACAGCTCGTTTTGCTTCATTTTTGTTAACTAGTTCGATAAAGGCTTCAGAATAAGTTTTGCCGGTTGATCTGTTTTTCAATTTTATTATTATTATTTTGGTAGTAGTTATTTTTTTTTTATTAATATTAATTATAAATAACATGCCGATCCATGATTATGTGGATACTTTGTGAATAGTTTGACGCGTCTGGTAAATTAAAAGCTGAAAAGAATGTTTTAATATCTTTCGATGAAACGTCCCACGGAATCTTCGAAGAAAATTGTTTTAATAATAATTTATAATTTATAATTTATACAATTTTTTAATTTCATGATTTTTCTTTTTTAAAAAAATTACGTTCGAAAGCCTAACAACAGGCCAATTGTATGGGATTGCTAATTTTGTGAGTTCATTTAATTGATAATTTTGCAATTGTTGATTAGACTGCTGTGATTGTTGTAGTTGCAATGGTAATTTAACAGTGGCAGGGTTATTATTGCTGCTAATATTATTATCATTGAAATTTGTACCAGCAATCTTTGATTGATTAGATTGATTAATTGATGATGGTTTAATATCAGGGAAAGCCCAAGTGAATGGATGAACATCAGGAGAAGATTCGGTAATATTATTATTTATACATTGTTGAATTTTTTCATCGTAATTTATTTGATTGTTGTTGTTGTTGTTTAATTGGTTAGAAGGAAAGCTAGGAATGGCGGTTATTGTTTTAAATTCTGAAACAGGCTATTTATATTTATAAATTAAAAAAATTATTATCTTTTTTTTTTGTAAGCGATTGACGATCATTTATTTTACCTTTTTACAATATGCACATTCTGAAAAGGTTTTAAAAGAACTTTTGACAGTGTTGGTACGTAATTTATGGACGCATGGCTCACACATCCTTTAAACAAAAATCAAAAATCAAAAAACAAAAATCAAATAACCGATTATAACAACAACAATAATAAATAATATTATGAATATACCTATGATCACAAGGTTTTAAAATAACATTCCCATTGATACATGGAATACAATCATATCGCATTGGGATTGGTTGTTCACGTTTTACTATTCTTTCTAGACGAGAGGCAGCGTTTGGTGGTCTAATCGGATGTGGGCTGAATAAATATGGTTGAGAAATGGAAGTACAAGGTTGAAATTTCTTATTATTGCTATTATTATTGCTGGCAGTTGACGGTGAGAAGATTTTATCATAAACTGATGCGATTGATGGGTTTTGGCTAGCACCTTTAGTAGTTTTATCATCCGATGACTCCTTTGTCTTTTAATCAATCAATCAAAATCAATTAAAATCCCTAATTATTTTTAATTGATTGGAAATTTTATTTTTTTGTAAAGATTACCAATGAATCTTCGGAGGTAATTGTTGATGTAGTTTGATCACTAGATTGACTGGAATGGCCAGATGATGAAGAAATATCAGAATTAGTAGGACTAACTTTGTCCTCGGTATTTTTTTTTGGTTGTTTCGGATTTGGCGTTTGGGTGATTGACGCTTTTTAATCATTATTACAATTTGAACAAAATAATTATTAGTCAATTATATCTTAATTATACTTAGAAATTATCAACCTTTTTCAAACTTTTTGACTGAATCATCATCAGTTTGCTTGTCATCAGCAATTTCAACAGATTTAATTTCGATGGAAGTCATATTTTATCAAAGCAAATAAATTATTTGGAGCAAGTAAAAGTTGAATCGACTTTAAACTGTTGAAACGCGTCTAAAAAAATCAAATGTGATTTTTTGATTAACATATGTATTTTGTGATCCATTTTATTCGAAATATGTCAAAAAAATAAACCGCTACTTGATTTTATATTAAACGAGAGTTCGTTTTAAAAAAGACAAGCCTCTTTAAAAATATTTTCTTGAAAAGAACGAATATTATTATTATCTTTTTGATTTTATATCTCTGCGTGCGTTATACGTGAGTCTTTATAGGTAAAATAAATTTCTGACGAGTAAAAATAAAGTGTGAAAAAAAAAGGTTTTCTAGTTTAGAAAAAGAGAATGAAATAAATTTATTTTTGAAAATTTTGAGTTTCGAAGTTAAATGAGTATTTATATGGTTGGTGCTTCGAGTTTGATTAAAATAAGCTATAAATTAGATATAAGATTTATTTTTGATAAACTTTATATATCATATATAGCTTATTTTGAAGCTTATTAAAGATTTTGTGTGGGAAATTTACAAGTAAAAAAAGTTTAATAGACAATAATCTATCACTGTGTTCTGATTCATATTTATAAAAGAGGCGATATATTTTTTCCTTTAAGGTTGAAAATTTAAGAATTAAATCATCTCTAATGACTTAATATTGCAACGAGACTACATATGTAAATTCGATAAGTCGGTTTTGGCCCAACTTGGCCAAAAAGTTTCACTCTTTTCGATCTATATAAAGCCGCAATAAGCGCCAAGTCGTCAATCACTTAGCCCAAGTATAATTAAATGACGATAAGTCGGTCTCACGTGATATTTCATTATGTGAAGGGCATCATTACTATTTTTAATAATGTGTGTGGTTTAATAATTTTTTATTCGTCATTAGCAAAATGATTATTTGTAATAAAATATCTGGTGTAAATAAACTATCTTTATTGTTCATTTTTTATAATGAAGAAGGAAGGAAGCATTCTCACTTTTGAACTATATTTGCTTCCATCAGTTATAATGCATAATCACACATCCATTTTTCCTTGTCAAGTAATTCAAAAAGAGAACTTTTTTCGCTTTAATCATTTGATGGTTTATCATGAATAATGCATTAATATTTTATTATCTCAGCAGTTGTATCATCGAAAAATGTATTAATATATTATTATCTCCAGTTATATCATGTGAAGAAAAACATTTGTGTTCCTATTAAATTTTATTATGTTCAGAAATATGTATAAAAAGGTTGATTTCGCAATCTTCTTATAAATAAAATAAATAAATATGGTGCAAGTCACCTAGTCCCGCAACTTGCTGCGCCTCGTGGCCAATTTTGGGAAAAATCATCAAAA